CCAGCGATCAACCTCTAACTGCAATCCCGACCAGTCAATACGATATTAACAATTGCAAGAATTCTCATACTGTAACTGTCTTTGGTGCGTCAATTTGTCCCGCACAAAAATAGCTATTGACGAGTAATTTATTGCAGTCGCCGAGAATGCCGTAATCTGAGGTGGAGGTTCGCACTGCGGACTTTGTGCAAGTTTTGTTCATTTTTCAAGGCTTGCAGCATGGTTTACCTAATGAAAAAAAGCAGTAGCAAGAGGGTGAAATTGGAATTTGTGAGCCCCCGTCACCCACACGCCCTCGGCCCAGCTCTTTATGAACAGCGCTGCTCGACCGCTCCAAGCTGCGTGTTCCCATCCGGGACACGACCGATCCCTCCTCACCACCCCAGCCGCCACTGTAGGGCCAGGTGACGTCATGAGCAATGTCACCCACCGTTGGGTGGCCAGATGACGTCATGAGGTGACGTCACCCGCCGGTGCACGGTCAGGTGACGCTGCTGAACTTCATGATCACGCCGCTGGGGCTGGAGGACCAGCTGCTCGGCATCGTGGCAGCCAAGGAGAAGCCGGACCTGGAGCAGAAGAAGAACGAGCTGATTGTAGAGGGCGCCAACAACCAGCGGCTGCTGAAGGAGATCGAGGATCAGATCCTGGAGGTGCTCAGCTCGTCCAAGGGCAACATCCTCGAGGACGAGACGGCCATCCAGATCCTCTCCTCGTCGAAGGTGCGTGCGGTGCGGCCGCCTGTCAGGCGCTGGCCTACCGGAAGGCGATCAGCCTCTGACCAGGGTTTAGAGACGGGACGGGGCGTGTTTGAGATGCTTTATTCGTCCGCGTGTGGATGCCACTTCTGATCATGTTACGATGACCTTACTGCGAAACCAGTGAAACATTTATGCGACGTGCGGGATTCGAACCGGGGTCCGCCAGCACGGCGCGACCTCACCGGCCTCGCGCGCCCGCAGGTGTCGGAGGAGATCACGGCGAAGCGAAGCAGGCGGTGGCCGCCGCAACGGAGAAGGAGATCGACGAAGCGCGCGTGGGCTACCGGCCGGTGGCCGTACACTCGAGCACGCTGTTCTTCTGCATCTCCGAGCTGGCCACATCGACCCCATTGTACCAGTACTCGCTCACCTGGTACATCGGCCTCTACCTACATGTACGAGGGTGGCATGCGTGGTGACTGTGAAAGGTGCCTGGTTGGTACGAGTTTTGCTAGCGTTAGTGCGAAAGAAACTGAGGGCAGGGCTGCGCAGCTGTGTGAGAACCGGGCACGCGGCATCGCACGGCGCAGGCGAGCGTCGGTGAGAACCCAGGTCAGACCCCCAAATCTAGCTGAATAGTGGGTTTTGACCCTCCCCTGAATCCCACTAATTTGGTGAGAGAACAAATGTCAGGGCTCCAAATCTAGCTAGCTGAGTATTGGTGTTGACGCGTCCCAAATCCACATAATTCGGTGAAAACCCAGTGTCAGACCCACCAAATTTGGCTGACTATTGGTGTTGACGCTCCTCTAAATCCATATAGCTGACTGGGATGCAAACCCCTGGAATCCAGTGTTCTAGGGATGCAAGTATCAGTCTGATAAGCAAAACCTGGTCCCGATGCATCATCGAAACAAAATATATAGAGGCGTGCACACTGGACGGACTCGGCCAGCGTGGCGCTGCGTGAACAGCAGCGATGTGGCTTGCCTGCGCTGCGTTGCGTTTTGCCTTGTTGCGACGCTGTAGCTGTGAAATGGGAGTGTCTCGTGCGCCGCAGTCGATCCAGAGCAGTCCGAAGTCGCCGGAGCTGAAGACGAGGATCCTGGCGCTCAACGACTTCTTCACGCGTAGCATCTACCGCAACGTCTGCCGCTCCCTCTTTCGAGAAGGACAAGTGCTCTTCTCCTGCTTGCTCTGCGTCGGCATCATGAAGGGTCGGTGTGAGTCTGGACGTGGAATCGTGTGCGGGAGTTGGAGGGGGGGGGGGGGGGGGGGGGCTACTGCCTGGGCAACGCGGGCTGTGAGGACTTACCCTTGGGCTGTGAAGATCCATTCTCACTGTTTGTAGGTGTCTGGAGACCCAGTTTCATTGAGCTAGATATGTGTCTGATAATGCTGTAAGAACTCAAGCGCGTACAGATGCTGGTCCGCGTGCACGGGTTCTGAGACGTGGTCATGTGGATGTGGAAACGTAAACCATGTAGATGCAGTACCTGTGCGATTTGGATGTGTACCAGTGTTCTGCCGCTGCGTGTGTGTGGACGTTATCTCCCGTGGCGCGTTTCTGCGACCGGCCGCTGACCGCGCGCGCCCATTGCTACGGCAGGGGAGCTCAATGGCGAAGCAGTGGCGGTTTTTTCCTGACCGGCGGTATCGCGCTCGACAACCCGTACCCGAACCCGGCCTCCGGCTGGCTGACCGACAAGGCCTGGGACGAGATTGTACGGCTGTCCAGTCTTGAGGGGTCAGTGGACTGGCCGGCCAGGCCTGGAGCCGTCGCTGTCGTACCTCTTCAGCCTCGAAGGGCTCGGGGGTCGGGGCGGTGTCTCGAGGGGTCAGTGGACGGGCCGCCAGGCCTGGAGCCGTCGCTGTCGTCACCTCTTCAGCCTCGAGGGCTCGGGGTCGGGGCGGTGTCGGCCTCGAGGGGTCAGTGGACGGGCCGCCAAGCCTGGAGCCGTCACTGTTGTCACCTCTTCAGCCTCGGGCGCTCAGGGTCTGGGCGGTGTCGGCCTCGAGGGGTTCCTGATAAGCCATATGGCTTCAATGGGTCAAGGTGTGGGCCACATGGTGCTGGGGGAGGGGGGGGGGAGGGGGCGGTGCTTAGGCCATGCCTCTTGAAGTGTGAATGTCTGAACTACCCTGGCTTCGACACCAGCGGCCGAAGCTCCGTCCGTGGTGAGCGGCATCCGCCTCCTAGGACGACAGGACTCGTGATTGGGCGTCGGAGCAAATTTGACTCGATGCTTGAAACTTGGATGTTGCTTGTCGTATATGTCGGGAAGAGCACAGAGGTGTGCGGTGCATCAGAATGTGACGAGGAGAACACGGCGGCACCCGACGTGACGTGACGCCTGCGCCGTACCAGAGCCGATCCTAATCATCCGTTGTTGCGTGACCGATTCGGGCAAAGAGCCACAAACGATCACCTTGACCTCAGCAGCAGCTGAGTGCGTTGTAAAGTCCCAATGACAACAACGGCATCTCGTATTTAACTTGTCGGGCGTGACCCCGTCCGATAGCGTGTGGCTCGCCCGGCCCGCCCGCCGGGCGTGACCCCGGTGCGACGCGGTCGGCCTGACCTGACCCAGCGTGACGTGGCCGGCCTGACCTGACCCGGCGGCGCGCCGGCCTGTGCCACAGCTTCAGCAAGCTGTACCGGGACGTGGCGCGCACGCCGCCCGCCTGGAAGGCCATCTACGACTCGTCGGCGCGCAGGAGGCGCGCTACCCGGGCGCCTGGGACGAGAAGACGGGCCTGGCGCGCATGCTGCTGCTCCGGAGCATGCGGCCGGACAAGCTGACTCCCGGCCGTCCAGGTCAGCGGCCGCCGCCGAGGGGGGGGGGGTGCGCCGCCTGCTGCCGGCGGCGGCCCAGGGCGTCGCACCGGGCGGGGCGCGGCTGCCGGGGAGGCAGGCGGTGGTGGGGGTGTTGGCCGCTGCCTGGGGTCATGCTGAGGGGTTCCGTCACCTGGCCGCTGGTACTCGTTCGCCGTATGACGCTTCCCGCCATCGCTGCCGAACCTTCGATCCATTTTGCCAGTGATGGCGCCCCTTGGAACATTAGGACATTTTGCAGCGCAGTTATCGTCACGTTCACGTCACGTCACGTTTTCGCCATCGTTCGGACAACAATAACTAACACCCCTGCAGCCATCACGGACGACTCTCTGCGACATGGCCGGTCACAATAACGCCGGGCCTCATCCGCTGCAAACGTTCACAACACCGCATTGCCCGCCCACAACACCACAGTGCCTGCCCACAATACCACAGAGCCCGCCCACAGCACCACAGTGCCCGCCCATAACACCACAGTGCCCGCCCACAACACCACAGTGCCCGCCCACAACACCGCAGTGCCCGCCCATAACACCACAGTGCTCGCCCACAACACCACAGTGTTCGCCCACAACACCACAGTGCCCAACCGCAACACCGCAGTGCCCGCCCGCGACGCTGCGGTGACGGCCGGTGATCCCGTGCTCACCGCGCGCAAGCCGGCGGCGGCCGCGCGGCGTGACTGCGCGCTTTCCTGCTGCCAGCAATTCATCGTGGACAACCTGGGCGCCTACTACATCGAGCCGCCGACGTTCGACCTGCCCGGCTCGTACGGCGACTCGTCGTGCATCACGCCGCTCATCTTCGTGCTGTCGCCGGGCGCCGACCCGATGGCTACGCTGCTCAAGTTCGCCGAAGACGAGGGCCAGGCCGGCCACGTGCAGACCATCTCGCTGGGCCAGGGACAGGTCAGCGGCGAGGGCAGGCGCTTCCGGGGGGAGAGGTGGGGGGGGGGGGGGGGTCGGCGTCGGTGTTGGTTTGTGTGGCTGACGTGTAGGCGGTGCCTATTTGTTTTAAGGAAGTTGTTTCACCGTGTCTCCGAAACTGCGGACAATTTACGGTAGGTCGCTAGTGTTCCAGGGAAAGCCGGCTTCACTGAACCCATTTATGTTTCCAACTGTTCTGGTAAGGTTCGGTTTATGGCCGGCGACCGCGTGACGTCGTCTGCTGCTGATCGCGATGCTGTGCGTTGTAGTGACAGTGAAGCCCGTCGCCTGGTGTTTGTGTGCAGTCGTGTGGCGTTTGCGTGCGGTGTAGTGCAGTGTCGTATGGTGGTGTGCGGTGTGTGTGCAGTGTTGTGTGGCGGTGTGCGGTGTTGTGCGGCGTGGTGTGTCATGGATCGTCGCCTGGCGCTGTGCCTGCCCCCGCCACCGCCGCCCGCCATGCTAACGCTCCTCGCCGCGCGCGTCGCCCGCAGGGGCCGATCGCCGCGCAGATGATCGAAACGGCGCTGGTGGAGGGCGGCTGGGTGGTGCTGCAGAACTGCCACCTGGCCACCAGCTGGATGCCGCAGCTGGAGATGATCTGCGAGAACCAGATCGTGCCCGAGAAGACGCATCAACGCTTCCGGCTCTGGCTCACCAGCTACCCCAGCGGCGACTTCCCCGTCTCCGTCCTGCAGAACGGTGAGGCCGTCCAGGGCGGTGAGATGCCGCAGAGCGGTGGAACACCGCCGGGCGGTGAGATTCCGCAGGACGGCGGGGTCCTGCAGAGCGGTCAAATAGGCCGCGTACTCATACCGTTTGGCGGCACGCGGCAGTGCGCATGTGCTGTGATTACATGCTCTAAAATCACGCCGAGCCGTTCGGAGGCCGAGCCGTCATCGTCGTCTTCGATGTCACCGACATGCCAACATCGCTTTCAGCCCCATGCTGTTCTTCAAAAGCGGCAAATCGTGCTGATGGTATGACGATTGCAGTGACGAGTCTGACGTCATGAGTGTTAGGCATGTCTTCGCTCCAAGCGGGCTGGTCAGTATGACTGCCATTAACTGGCTCACGGGATTGGCTGCAGGACTTCTGCGGCGCAGACTCAGCGGCGATTGCAGTTGGCAGGAGCGGCTCGGTGGCATTGGCCAACATTGCTGCGGGATGTGTTGGAGGCGGCGGGTGTGGGTTGCCCCGCCCTGTCGTCAGCAGCCCGCAGCCGTCCGCCTCGCTCGCCGCGCAGCCCCTCACGCCGCGCACACTCTCGGCAGGTGTGAAGATGACGAACGAGCCGCCGAAGGGCCTGCGCGCCAACCTGCTGCGCTCCTACCTCAACGACCCCATCTCCAGTCCGGACTTCTTCGGCGGCTGCAAGCAGCCTCAGGTGTGGCCGACGTGCGCGGTGTGGGGTATCGTGGCGCCGGCGGGCCGTGGCTGACCGGCAGACAGTCGTGGCGCCGGCGGGCCGTGGGTCCGCTGATGGGGCGGACAGGCCAGCCGACAGAGTGCGGATGAACCACGCTCTCCGACTCCGACGCTCTCATGGCCGGGCGGGGGTGCCTGCGGTCCTACACTAACCTGCCGACGCTCATGCCGCCGACCTTGTAACTCGCAGCGGGCGCGAGCTCTGCCCTCGTACACCTCCGCCCCCGTCCGGCCGTACCGAGCCCGGCTGGTTGCTGTGTCTGGACGCTGTGTGACATGCCGCCGCTGTGTGCGGGCCTGACACCGGCCGCTGTGTCTGGACGCTGTGTGACGCGCTGCCGCTGTGTGCAGGTCTGGCATCAGCTGCTGTGTCTGGACGGTGCGCGACGCGCCGCCGCTGTGCGCGGGTCTGGCATCAGCTGCTGTGTCTGGGTGCTGTGTGACGCGCCGCCGCTGTGCGCAGGCCTGGCACCGGCTGCTGTTCGGGCTGTGCTTCTTCCACGGCCTGGTGCAGGAGCGGCGTCAATTCGGGGCCCTCGGCTGGAACATCCCCTACGAGTTCAACGAGTCGGACCTCAGCATCAGCATGACACAATTGCAGGTCTGGCCCGCCCGCCGTGTTCCAAGCCGTGCTCACGGGCGCTCCTTTCTGTGTTCATATCACTGCACCTACATGTCTGACCTTTGCTGTGTTACCCCTTCCAGAAATTGTATCTTTAACTTATATTTAACTCACATGTCTCCGTGAATATCGCCGGGGTCTCTCGCACGCATGTTGTGTATTTGTCCTGATGTTCTGTGTCTTCGTCCAGTCTCCCAATCCTGTATCTATCATCTGAATCCTGATGTACTCTGCCATGCTGTTCCGCAGAACCTCTCGAAGCTCGGTGCAGGGATGTCTGTAGCATGTGCTTCAGCGTGGCGTCCCAGGGAGTGATTCCTTTAAGTCACACCACATGGCCCCGTCTCCTCACCTCACCTCACCTCACCTTGCCCCACCTCTCCTCGCCTCAGCTCACCTCTCCTCGCCTCTCCTCTCCTAACCTCACCTTGCCTCACCTCGCCCCAGCTCACCTCACCTCACCTCACCTCACCTCACCTCACCTCACCTCACCTCACCTCACCCCTCCTCACCTCACCTTGCCCCACCTCGCCTCACCTCAGCTCACCTCTCCTCACCTCTCCTCTTCACCTCACCTCACCTCACCTCACTCTCTCCTCAACTCACCTTACCTCACCTCACCTCACCTCACCTCACCTCACCTCACCTTCCCCTTCACCTCACCTGCCCTCACCTCACCTCACCTCAGCTCACCTCACCTCTCCTCTCCTCTCCTCACCTCACCTCACCTTGCCTCACTTCACCTCGCCTCACCTCTGCTCACCTCTGCTCACCTCTCCTCACCTCTCCTCTCCTCAGTTCACCTCACCTCTGCTGGCTCCTGTGACTGGCAGATGTTCCTGAACGAGTACGAGCACATCCCGCTGGCGGCGCTGACCTACCTGACTGGAGAGTGTAACTACGGCGGCCGCGTCACCGACGACAAAGACCCGCCGCCTGCTGCTCAGCCTGCTGGCGCTCTCATACAACGACAACATCATCAACAGGGCCGGGTAAATGCTGTCTCACAACGAGGACATCATCATCAGGACCGAGTACGTACAGCCTTGCAGCAACGACATCATCAGCAGTTCAACACTTTCAGTGTTGTGATGTGTCAAGTAACTACCGCTTGCAACAAATTACCACCGTCACCACCCTCATCGCTGCATTCCCTCACGCGAATTCAATGTAAAGAAAAAAATTGTCGTCGGTGAGTAATGTATGCCATAGGCTTTCGTGGAAACATTCGTCATTCACATCGGTATCTGCTAAGCTTGACCATCACAACTTCGACGAGGGCAGCTTAGTCAAATGGTGAGTGGGTAGCGAATCGTAAGGTCAGTAATGAGTATCACAGGCTCTCCTGAAGACATTAATATCGATGCTTCTTCTGTACATGCCCATTATTGTAGAAACTTTCTATCATAGGTTTCAATAGAAAAATTTCTGGTGTGCTCGATCAGCAAGTGGCTTATGTTCCAGGATCAGATCACTTTGAAAACGCTCAGCATTTAATAAGCTGATATACATACCATGTCCAAACCAGTCTCCGAATATTTTTTGGAATCTCTAAATTTTGGAATCCGATCGACACATCAACGCCACGGGACGGGTGACGGCGATAGGCGCCATGCACTGCATGGCGAGTGATTGTGCGTATAGGAGCGGGGACAGCGTTTTGACTATTTCCGGTCCACACTTTGCACCCGTAATGCTGTTTGGTTTCGACAGCGACAAGGTGCCAGTGAGAATGCTCCAACTGACCTTCAGCTGCACTGACTGCATTCGCCAGCCTAGAGCGGCTCTGCGGAGCCCTGTGATGACGTCACTCAGGCGGCTGTTCGGAGCGATCCGTACACTCAGCCCCCTCCCTTCCGCTCCGTACCCTAGGTACGTAGTTCAGTCCGTCGGCGTGTACTATGTACCGGACGTGGAGGAGGAGCACGGCGAGTACGTGGAGTACCTGCGCTCGCTGCCCATGCTGGCGCCACCCGGAGGTGTTCGGGCTGCATGAGAACGCCGATATTCACCAAGGATAACAAGGAGACCAACCAGGTGAGCCGGCGGCCATTGCACGCAGTGAGTCGTGCGGGCTGTTGTCCCCTCCCCTCCCCCCTCCCCTCCCCTAGGTCTCCCTCCCCCTCCCCTCCCTGCCCCATCCCGGCTCCCCTCTCCTCCCCTCTCTCCCTTCCCCTCCTCCCTCCCCTCCCCTCCCTCCTTCCCTCCCCCTCTCCCTCCCCTCCCCTCCCTCTCCCCCTCCCCTCCCTCCCTCTTCCCCCTCCCCTCTCTCCCTTTCCCCCTCCCCCTCCCTCCCTCCCTCCCTTCCTTCCTCCCTTCCTCCCTTCCTCCCTCTCTCCCTCCAGAGACGAGACATGTCGCGTGTGCGGTGCTCAGGAGGCCTTTGAACTTGCGCCAGAATGCCGGTTCAAGGGCTCGTTTGGCGGAGACCAAGGCGGCGGGCGTCATAGTGTAGGCGGACCTCAGCTGCAGCGTGTGGCGCCGTCTGTGATGGTGTTGTCAGCCAAACAAGGTGACGTGTCCGGTGGGATGTGATCGCTCGCGTATGTGCATGTCCGGGCTCGAATCCTGGTTGGCCGTGTGATCTCTGGGCTCTGCCACGACCGCCTGGTTATCGGTGCATCCATGAAGCGATGCTGGCTGGTGCGGCCTTGTGTCCCATCACGCCTGCGTCGATGTCCTATTCTCAAAAACGTCCCTATTAGCGCGTCCTCCACTCTATGTCCCCACTCTACATCCATTTTCCAATGCCAGTCCGTGCGCTTCCGTAGAAATGTGTCCAGCCGCTGTACGGATCGAGAATGGAGACCAGCTGGATCAGTGTTCCCGTATGACGCCAATGTCCCAAAGCCGCGGCGCCTGTCCTGACCTCCCCTGACGTCCTCTTGATGTCTTTCTGATGCCAACCTCACGGCTTCTGACACCTCCTGACATACTTCTGAAGTCCTGACGTCCTCCTGACGCCCTCATGACGCCCTCTGACATCCCCTGACATCTGCTGACGTATTCCTGACGCCCTCCTGACGCCCTCCTGACGCCCGTTGCCGGCAGCTGCTGCTGGGCCTGCTGAAGACGCAGCCGCAGCAGGCGGCCACCGGCGGCGGCGGCGGCTCCTCAGCCGGCGCCGTCACAGAGCTGGCGGCCGACCTGCTGTCCCGGCTGCAGGAGCCCTTCGACCTAGAGCAGGCCGAGCTCAAGTTCCCGCTCAAGTACGAGGAGAGCATGAACACCGTGCTCAAGCAGGTCAGCGGGTGACGCGTCCGGGCGGGTCATGGGCGCCGCGCTGCAACATGTCCATCGCGTTCCAAGAACATCGAGAGCATGGTTTTACAAAAAGGCTGAGGCGAAGCATTGATGTCACGGATGGAAAACCGTTCGGGCTGTTGTCCCCGTCTGGCATGGCGGCATGATAGTGATAACAGGGCGGGCATAGTGATCCGGCGGGTGGGGGAGCTCGGCACCCGGCCGGACCAGGGGCCGCTGCGCGCGGCAGGGCGGCAGCGGCGTCAAGCGCTCGGGCGGGTGACGTGGTGGGGTGCGCACACACGGCGGAGGTGAGGGTTTGGAGGCTGTTGGGTGTCTATTGTTTGCAGTGTTTGTGGTTCAGTGTGTGGTGCTTGTGCGACAGTGTGTATCTGTCTGTGCGCGTGTGCGTATGTGCGTGCGTGCGTGCGTGCGTGCGTGCGTGTGCGTGTGCGTGTGCGTAAAAGGCGTTGTTCCTTGAGACGATTCGTTGAAAGTGTAGCGTTTATGATGTGTGGTGCGACAGGCTCTGTACGGTTCGTGTGCGTGCTGCGATGCGGCGCCAACAGTGCACGATAACGGGCTTGTGATGTTGCGAACCGACAGCGAGTCCGTCGCCCCGACGTGGACTTATAGCATTATACACCCCATGTGGTGATATTGATTGAGGACGAGCTCACTGTGTTGATGTGAATTAATGGCAAGTCCACTGTGCTGACGTGGATTAACAGCCAGTCCACTGTGTTGATGTGGATTAACAGCCAGTCCACTGTGCTGATGTGGTTTAACAGCCAGTCCACTGTGCTGATGTGGTTTAACAGCCAGTCCACTGTGCTGATGTGGATTAACAGCCAGTCCTGCTGATGTGGATCTGGGGCAAGGATGTCACTTTCGAAAATCGGTTGGGGGGCTGCGCCAACGAAGATTGGCTCTTGATTTGTAACTCTCGGTTTCTCTTCGGATTTCGACCACTTTGATTTGCGTCCCTGATGGCAAAATTAAAGAAACGCAAATATTTGATCGGCTTTAGAACTTTTTGATGAAGAAGGATGACTGCCCATTTGAAGGCAATGTGATAATGATGATGGTATACTGCATTTCGTTGACGCACTTTTCCTTTGTTTGCTTATATGCCTTGGGGGTAGGGGCTCAGAAGAGCACAGAGTGGGCTCAAGTCACCATGGGAAGGCTCAGACTCCCAAAAAGCGTACAAAGTGATGCCCTTGAGCGGGCGCGGGACGAGGCGAGTCTCCTGTGCTGGTGTTGAGGGGTGCTGACTCGCCCGCGTGCCCTGCCCAGGAGCTGATCCGCTTCAATGGCCTGACGGCGGTGATCCGGTCCACGCTGATCAACGTGCAGAAGGCCGTCAAAGGTGCGCACTGACCGGCGCTCGGGCCGCCGCCCAGACCGACGCCGGCCGCACAGTCGCCGCAGCTGATCAGAGACGGGCCACATAGATCAGCTGATTCGCGCTGTGCGACAAAGAATGTCCGAATGATTCATTTGAACGTACTTTTCTGAGTTGATCTTGAGAAGTACGCCGAGGAGCAGCGCTGAACAGCATCTCAGATTGCGTCTGATTGTAATGAGACCGTCTTGGTGTGATGGCTGGATATAACCGAAACTTGTGCAACATCAGTTCAGCTGATGTGGTATTTTTTCCAACCACGCAAATGGGCTGGCAGTTTGTCATTGGTTTTGTGCTCTGTGCCCGTGCGTGCTGACCATCTGCGCCAGTTTGTGCCTCTTCGCTGCAGACACGGTGTTCTGACCACTACTCACATCAAGCGCAGGGGTCCGGATGCTTCTGGGCGCCGCTGATGAACATTCTGGAAGGATCGTGGTGCATATCGTGATCTTAGATCGCATATATATATATATATATATATATATATATATATATATATATATATATATATATATTGATGCCCCTTATATATCCCTCGGTAGAATTCCGTGTTGTGAGCGCCATATGACCAACGCAGTCGGCACGCCCCAAAGACCCGACTGGTCATAATGACAGACACGACCGAGGCGGGCGGCTAGCCTCCAGACCGGGGTCACTGGTCCCACTCCTGCCTGCTCGTCGGCGGGGAGGGAGAGGGATGACGCTGACTCTGGTGCCGCCGCCAGGCCTGGTGGTCATGTCGTCAGAGCTGGAGGAGGTCTTCAACTCCATGTCGGTGGGCAAGGTGCCGGCGCTCTGGGGCAGCAAGTCCTACCCCAGCCTCAAGCCCCTAGGCGGCTACTTTACCGATCTTGTCACCAGGTGATGCCCCATCCGCACCATTCGATGTGCGGTTGGGCATTTTTACTTGTCGCTGACAGTCAACAGTGCGTCCACCCAATAACTCACGATGTGTTAGGATATGATGTAACATATGATGGTTGGATGGTACGGAGGTTAGCAACACATGATGCTGCTAATAGGCAACGTAGGAAAAGGAGCTGGCCAATCGCGTTGTTGTTGGTCAACTGCTGTTGTCGATTTTTCTGACGATGGCCGGAAACTAACGAGCTTGCGGTCTTCCCCTTCCCCTTCCTCCCTCCACACTCGCTGACCTGGCTGTTTCCCTCATGCATGAGTTGTGATGTTCCCCCGCAGTTAGATAGGACGGGAAACCTGCCATCTGTGGTGGTGCAGTTAGGTACGTTTTGTTCCTTGCCACTCACAGCTGTACGGCACATTCAGAAAAGGCGCAATCAGAAAAGGCGCAATCTTCAAACAACGTAACCCCAACAAGATGCATAGATCTAACGCTCCGGCACGTTCAGGCTGAAGGTGCTGCAGGACTGGATCGACAACGACACTCCCTCCGTGTTCTGGCTGTCCGGCTTCTTCTTCATCCACTCCTTCCTCACGGGCATCCTGCAGAACTACGCGCGCAAGAAGCACATCTCTATTGACCAGCTGGGCTTCAGGTCGGTGGCTGTGTTCGCAGGCTCCGCCAACGCGACGTGTCCCGATGTTAGGCTATTTGTTAACGCACTCACCTGTGGAGGTCGATGCCGTCGATGGCTTCGGTGTCGCCGGAGCAATGTAGCGGGCTTCTTACGTTCAGTTGTGCTGTTTTGGTAGTGTCGCCTGTGACGGGAAGAGACTGCCAGCTTTTGGTGAAGAGCTGAAGGGCCTTGCCGCTAGGCATGGTTGATATGCGTCCTGTTATTTTTGCGTTCTTTTGCTTCCTCTGCCTGCATTCTTCCGTACCCATGTTTGTTCTTCGCCGCACCGCATCAAGTCTGGTATTGACGAGACAGTACGTATGGACTGGTACAGTGTAAGCAGTACTTGTGCACCTGCTGTACCCATTGACAGAACGGGTACACTGTTGGTCGATGTGTGCTCCCGTCTTGTTCCGTTCCCTGTCCGTTGCCCATTGGCCGCTCCCCCCACTGCCTCTTGGTCGCTCCTCCCTCTGCCGTGGTCGGTGCCTGATCGCACGTTCACTCGCGTCCCGGTCACACCGACCATCGCCGGCTGAACAGCTGTCTTCCACCCCTCCGCTGTTTGAAACGCAGCTGGAAAAGACCCCTCCGCGGGGACCGAACCCGCGACCTCAGTGTCGCGAGCCCCGTGCGCGCCTGCCCGGCTGCCGTATCCACGTGCAACGAGCGCTTCTGTGCCGCAGATATGTGGTAACCCAGCACGAGGCGGACGCGCCGGAGAAGCCCGAGGACGGAGAGCTGGTCAAGGTCAGTGGGCGGAGTCTCCGGTCACGTGACCGCTCGGCCCAACAGGCCCCCGAGTTGAGCGATGAGGCTGGCGCCCATAGGCCAGGCCGTTTGGCACGAGATGCTATTCATGCAGCTGTCGGGAGTCGGCGCTAAATCAGAGGATGGGACGAGTCATGGGTTCGCTGGGCGATCAGTACACGTGGCGCGCGGTCGTGAGGAGTGTCGGCGCCGTGCGTGACGACAGCGTACGACGCCGGTGATGTGTGGCGCGTCGTGGCTGCTGTCGTCTTGTGCGATGCCAATTAGCAACGCACAAGGGCAAGGACGCCAAGGTGACCAGTATGCGTCCCTGTACCGGGCCAGTAAAGAAGTGCTACTCTATTACCTTGTGTTCTTGCCTGAGAGTTTTGACTAGAGGCATTGACCTGTAGTCATACCAAGCCACGCGGGTGATGTTAATACCAGGCCACGTGGGTGATGTTAATACCAGGCCACGTGGGTGATGTTAATACCAAGCCACGTGGGTGGTGTTAATACCAGGCCACGTGGGTGATGTTAATACCAGGCCACGTGGGTGATGTTAATACCAAGCCACGTGGGTGGTGTTAATACCAGGCCACGTGGATGATGTTAATAGCAGACCACGTGGGTGATGTTAATACCAAGCCACGTGGGTGCTGTTAATACCAAGCCGCGTGGGTGATGTTAATACCAGGCCACGTGGGTGATGTTAGCACCAAGCCACGTGGGTGATGGTTAATACCAGGCCACGTAGGTGATGTTAATACCAAGCCGCGTGGGTGATGTTAATACCAGGCACGTGGGTGATGTTAGCACCAAGCCACGTGGGTGATGTTAATACCAGGCCACGTAGGTGATGTTAATACCAAGTCACGTGGGTGATGTTAATACCAAGCCACGTGGGTGATGTTAATACCAGGCCACGTGGATGATGTTAATACCAGGCACGTGGGTGATGTTGATACCAGGCCACGTGGGCGATGTTAATCCCAAGCCACGTGGGTGATGTTGATACCAGGCCCACGTGGGTGATGTGGATACCAGGCCACGTGGGTGATGTGGATACCAGGCCACGTGGGTGATGTGGATACCAGGCCACGTGGGTTATATTTCCCGTTTTCATGCCTAGCCGAGTGGAGTGCGGCGGAATCTGGGTACGGTATGACGTGTGTGATGGGTGGGGCAGGGTGCATGTGGAGTGTGATGACGCGTGTGTGATGAGTGGGGCAGTGGTGCATGTGGAATGTGATGACGTGTTGATGAGTGGGGCAGTAGTGGTGCATGTGGAGTGTGATGACGTGTGTGATGAGTGGGGCAGTGGTGCATGTGGAGTGTGATGACGTTGTGATGAGTGGGGCAGTGGTGCATGTGGAGTGTGATGACGTGTGTGATGAGGGGGCAGTGGTGCATGTGGAGTGTGATGACGTGTGTGATGAGTGGGGCAGTGATGCATGTGGAGTGTGATGACGTGTGATGGGTGGGGCAGTGGTGCATGTGGAGTGTGATGACGTGTGTGATGGGTGGGCAGTGGTGCATGTGGAGTGTGATGACGTGTGTGATGAGTGGGGCAGTGGGTGATGTGGAGTGTGATGACGTGTGTGATGAGTGGGGGCAGTGGTGCATGTGGAGTGTGATGACGTGTGTGATGAGTGGGCAGTGATGCATGTGGAGTGTGATGACGTGTGTGATGGGTGGGGCAGTGGCGCATGTGGAGTGTGATGACGTGTGTGATGAGTGGGGCAGTGGTGCATGTGGAGTGTGATGAGTGTGTGATGAGTGGGGCAGTGGTGCATGTGGAGTGTGATGACGTGTGTGATGAGTGGGGCAGTGGTGCATGTGGAGTGTGATGACGTGTGTGATGGGTGGGGCAGTGGTGCATGTGGAGTGTGATGAGTGTGTGATGGGTGGGGCAGTGGGTGCATGTGGAGTGTGATGACGTGTGATGAGTGGGGCAGTGGTGCATGTGGAGTGTGATGACGTGTGTGATGAGTGGGGCAGTGGTGCATGTGGAGTGTGGAAGGCATATAGTATTGTGTAGCTTATACTACACGGTTTGCTTTGTGTGGAGGGTAACTCTTGAATTATGAATCAACCGGCTGTACTGTTTTGTAACTTAATCTGGGTGATTCCTAAATATGGTTTGCTTAACAACATATGAAACTTCGGGTGTCGTACATGTACACATGATTACACACACATGATTGCTGTTATACCTTTTGACATCAATGTATTGTGCTACTTGATGTAAGCAGGACGGCTATTTTATTGCTATTATATCGTCTGACACAGATGTATGTGTAATTTGACATGAGTAGGACTGTTATTCGACACGATAAGACCAAGCCATGTCAGGGCAGACACGGAGCGGCGCGCCGGACCAGGGCTGAGCGGGCGCACGGCGCCGCTCGGCGGCGCACGCACACAGTCTCACTGTCACGTGCAAACTCCCTCACATGGCACGCTCAAAACAAACCAGCACCACGCTGCGGAGTCCCCACAGTGCCCCGCCGGCCTGTCCGGGTGGCGTGACGGTCATTGGCCGCCGCCAGGGCCTGTTCCTGGAGGGCGCGCGCTGGGACCGCAAGGCCGGGCGACTGGCCGAGTCGCTGCCGAAGATCCTGTTCGACACGCTGCCCATCATCTGGCTGCAGCCCGGCATCAAGGTGACTGTCCGGTCCCCCGGGCCTCCGCGGGCCCCGGGCCTCCGAGGGGCCTCCGCGGGCATCCCCGGCGACGCTGCAGCGCGGCGAACTCGGCGCTGGTGGCGAGGCCCGCCGGAGCCTGCAGGCTGCAGAACAAGCATGATACTGGATCACAACGACGGGCTGGGTCTGGGTCTTTCGGCTTTCTTACCGCACGCCTGGGGAGGGGGAGGGGGAGGGGTCAAATCGCCACGCCAGCTGATGGGCGTCGAGCTCATCTGGCTCCCGGGCGCGTATCATGGAATGGAGAAGCCACTGTTCGGATCCAGGCGTGCATGTGCGTCGTGTAGGATACAGGGCACAAGATCACATCGGTCCGCCTCACGCTGTGTGGCCGCGTCTAGCGGGTCATTGTCTCGGACAGCGGATGTCTTGAAGCACTGCAAAACCAGTGCCGCGCTGTGTTGAATGATCTTACGTACAGTAATGCATAAATAACCAGCACGCATGTCTCCCGGGCTGTATTTTCTACACCAACGTCCGTATGGCGCGTTAATGTCTTCCGTAAGTGGCTCATTGTGTTCGTTTGTGCCATTGGTTGTCGAACTTTGACCGCTCTGATAGGGAGACCGGTATCTTCCTTTGGGGGATTGCTTCTGGTGGTGCCCGCTTTGAGGACGTGCGCGAGCCGCCGTGGGAACCCGCGCAAACGCTGCTGGGACCTCCAGTTCGATTATGTTTGCTGTGATGATGCGCACTGTCTCAGCCCTGCGTTCTCGTGTTAGGCAGCGTCTTCCGCGCTGTAAATCTCCGTCGCCACGCGAGCCGTGCTTTCACCTCCGCTGTGGTGACGAGTCTCTACGACACGGCGCTCGCCGTGCTTCGCCGTGAGGTATCTGCCGTGAGGCCGTGTCCGCCGTGAGGTCGTGTCCGCCGTCAGGTCGTGTCCGTGGTGAGGTCGTGTATGTCGTGAGGTGGTGTCCACCGTGAGGTCGTGTCCGTGGTGAGGTCATGTTTGCCGTGAGGTCGTGTCCACCGTCAGGTCGTGTCCGTGTTGAGGTCGTGTCCGCCGGGAAGTCGTGTCCGCTGTGATGTGTCCGCCGTGAGGTTGTGTCCTCCGTGAGGTGTCCGCCGTGAGGCCGTGTCCTCCGTTAGGTGTCCGTCGTGAGGCCGTGTCTGCCGTCAGATCATGTCCGCGGTGAGATCGTGCCCGCCGTGAGGTCGTGTCCTCTGTAACGTTCCCTCACGCCGCTCCCGCCCCCGCCAGTCGGAGTTCAGCACCGCCGGCCTGTACGCCTGTCCGCTGTACAACACGTCGGCGCGGCGCGGCACGCTCTCCACCACGGGCCACTCCACCAACTTCGTGTTCTTCATCACGCTGCCGTCGGCGGCGCCGCCCGCCCACTGGATCAACAGAGGGGTGGCCGCCATCTGTCAGCTGACGACTAGCGCCGGACGCTGCCGTCGGCGGCTCGTCCGACGCGTGCTCCGTGTGGGGCAAGAGGGGGAGGTGGCCGCGTCGGACTGACGCCACTGACTTGCTCTGGAGGACGTCGTGCTCGTTATCGGTGCGGGCTCATGAGACCCAGCGTCCGAGCGATTTGAGAGATTCGACGCGAGATTGGTGGAAATTGCGCGTTGCGAGAGTTAGAAAATGATTGTAAATGTGTCTCCGTAAATTGTCAGATGGCGCGTTTTTTAAGTTGTATTGGTGTACTTTGACGGTTACAGAAGAGCGCCTTTGATGTCCGTCATTAGATATTCTTTCCAAGCGGCTTGTTGATGTGATAACAAAGGACGTGGCAGCGGACCAGTGCAATGGTCTCAGTCCGTCTGAAGTTGGCCAGTGTAATGATCTCAGTAGGTCCGGAGTTGACCAGTGCAATGATCCCAGTCGGTCCGAAGTTGACCAGTGTAATGATCTCAGTAGGTTCGAAGCTGACCAGTGTAATGGTCTCAGTCGGTCCAAAGTTGTTTAAATATGCCCAGTCCGTCCGAACTCGTTACGTTTCTAGTCCGGCGAATCTCGAGAGCTTGCATGCAGCATCGCAGTAGCCAGTAGTCGAGTGCAATACTGTTGAAGGGCGCATGGCTGTCTATTGTAGCGTTGAAGTTTGCTTTACTATCGCGTGACAAAATACATTGTGACGTGGCCACATTTCCACTCTCTCAAGGTGCGTATCTGAGCCCCTAATTTGGCCGAGAGGTGTCACTCAGACTTCTAGCACAGCCACACGCTGGCCATGCTTGCCTGACGGACGCCAGGCGAAGCCGGTCTGGGATGGGGCTGAGTGACAGCCGAGACGGCGGGACGCTCTGTCGAGATGTGCCGGGACTCTCCGCCCCGAGGGGACGCCGCGCCTCGGGCGACAAACCCATCACAAGTGTCGTGCCTCGCCATCGGATTCCGCAGTCGCCGGAGCCGCCAGGTGACCTGTGCTGGCGGTCCGCAGGGACGAACCCTGAACGTTCCTGACAATTTGAGCCTGGTTCTCGTCGAGTTCGACATTCTCCGCGGCTCAGACCTGGCTGATGGCTCTGGCTCGCGCCAGGCGGAGTCTGTCGCAGCCTTGATCGACGGCGACGCAGTGCGGAGAGTTCGGACCGTTCTCTAGCTGGCCTGGTCACGTGGGCCCAGCCAACACCTCAGGGGTGTCTTGTGCCTGAGCGGCCAGCCGGGGGTCATCTG